ATATTTATCCTATACATTTTCCCGGCAGTTTAGGGCTATGTTTTTTAAAATAGCCACAGAATATTACATTTTATTCTGTCTAAAAGCTATTTTCCACTACAAATCTAAAATTACCTTAATAATCACATATCTTTTAATAATAAATGGTAAACTGAACTGGTTTTACAATTGGGCTTCAAAGTCTGTGCCACTTTGTAGCAATGAACCTGAGAAAATTCTCTCTTCGGACTTCACCTTTCTCATTTACAAAACAGAGATAAAGCTTAACTCACAGTATTCTGACGATATTTAAAACCCGTGAGAAAGTGAATAGGAGAATATTTTAGCTACTTAGTAGCACTTGACAATGTTTAGCCATCTCTAAATTGTAGCCATGAATTTTGCCCCTATCTGTATTTTCCTCTTGGAAGTTCCCTGTATCTTTCTGCTGAATGGATGAAGTTTATGATGAGACTAGAGAATGGCAAAGCCACAGGGTAGAAGCCTGGCTCCCTAATTTACTGTGTATAGAAGAGCTACCTGCCAACTAGAAAAACTCACTTTGTATTCTTATAAAAAATAAAACCCTAAGTGTTTGAGTAATAATACACTTTTTTGTGTGTTGATTTGCAAGAGCTAGTCTACCCTAATTAACATATAGTTAAAAGATACTATCAAATGCTGAGTGTTCCGACCTTCTTCCCTCCTCAGCCTCAGGAAACTGGCAGCAAGGCTTTTCCCATACAGATAGGATACTGGAAGTTTCCCGTCCCTAACACCGAATACACAAATAACTTGCAGATAACAGTTTGGGGGAGGGGATACAGCCTTCAATGAAATACCCAGGTAAGATCACCTCACAGTGAAGCCCACTATTTGAAGAGATTCACCTGTGCTTACAGTGCTTTTAACATTTTTTCTCACCCCAAAACATACTTTTATGTAAACATCAATAGATGCAGGAAGGAAAGTGTATATTGAGGGAGTGGTATGAAGAAACCTAAATCCTAAATATCCAAGTCAATAGCTAGAATCCTAAGCACTTTTAGAATTCCACTAGCACTTTTATTCTTCGTATCTTACTGTATTTTTCTTTATATTATTTGACAAGCCCTGATATATTTACTCTTCATTTGTTTATCCGTTTCCTCCAACTTGGATGTTCCAAGAGGACGGGACTTTGAATTTTGCTCAATTCTGTACCCGTTTCTGGAAAAGTGCCTGGAACATGGAAGGAATTTAGTAAATATCTGTTGAATAAATAAATGGATTGGCAATTACAGGGTAAAAAAAAAAAAAAGTCTAATAAAATAATTTACTCCTACAGATCTGATACAAAAGATTTCTTTAGTCTTGCATGGTTACAAATGGCTGTCTCTCTTCTAGAAAAACTGAGGCAACCCTTCCGAAATAACTAATTTTAAAAAGCCTCCCTTCCTGTGAACAGACAATTCCAAAGCTCTTCCACAAGGCACAATCAATACAACCACAGGTCATGGGCCTGTAATACCTACCTAGTCCTCATGATGTAAGCAATATTACATTAATGTGTACAATAATGTAATTATTAGCAAGAATAATGTAAACATTAATATAGATTACTGTAAATTAATAATGTAATTAATTACTGTAAATTAACTAACGTAAGCACTATTAGATGCAGGATGACAAGTGAATTTGGGGGCAGTGGCATCTATGAGACAGACATAAATCCTCATCTGCCACAGAAGGAAGTCAACACATATTATCCATAACTGAAAATGCAAGAAACAGCAGAAAATACCTCTTACTTAAAAATACGGAAATAAGCATTAAATGAAACAGCTTAAAATGTTGAAAGGTGGTTACTCTGGGAACTAATACTCCCGGACTGGGAGGACTAGACTAGGGTATGTTTAATTTTGACTTTTCTATATCAGGCTCGGGGCTGCCATTTCTCTGAGTTCGTGGAAAATTTAATCTAAATCTTTATTAGGAGCCTTATAAGATGGAGAACACATTTATTGCAGAGAGGTCAGGCTCAAATAACACGTCTATCACAACATCTAAAACTTAAGAAAAAACCTCCACGAGTTTAAATACAAAGCACTGCCACGGACAACACACCCACAACCCCCGCACATTTACCAATCTACACAACTGAGCATTGGAGCGAATGAGGTGAGGGCCCAGAAAGTTGCAGCAGGAACGATCCGAGCCTTCAGTTAATTCCAACGTCACTTCTAACGTTTGGGGCAAGAACGTTTCAGGAAACCAAGGGGGACCAACGCCGGAGAGAAAGGCAACAAGCTACTGGACCCGCCGCGCCTCCCGCGCCGGGGTGGAGCTGACCCCGCAGAGCCCCGCCCCAGCCTGCGTCTGCCAATGGTCCAGGAGCCGCTCCTTTCCACTCGGGAAACCTTCAGAGGAGTCTCAGAAAAGACACGGCTGGCTGCTTTTCTCAGCGCCGAAGCCGCGCCATGCTAGTCCTCAGAAGCGCCCTAACTCGGGCGCTGGCCTCACGGACGCTGGCGCCTCAGGTACCGGCCGCAGGGGCGCCCAATCCTTCACCCGAGGGGAGGGCAGGGGTTGTTCCGGGATGGTGCGAGTCATGCGCATGCGCTCTCCGCCACACGCGCCCAGACTTGGGGTCCCGCGCCGCCGCCGAGGCTCTAGCGCGAACCCGGAAACCCCGAGACAGTGGTCCCCGGGACGCACGTGAGGAGGAGGCTGCTGCTAGGGGAATACCCCCAGCCGGGGTCGTCTCGCGGGCAGTCGCAGTAAGAGGGCTTTTCTAGCCTGGCTGCCACACCCACCGGGACACTCCCATGGCGCCGCTGCGGCGTTTTTGCCGCCCAGCTAGGTCGCGGCTGCGGCCCAGGGAGCGCTCTCAAGTTGTCACCTGGCGCTGTCGAGCCGCCGGTGGAGTTGTGGCTTTCCAAGCCTCCGCCCTCTCTCAGCTTGAAGGAGGGGAGGGAATTGCCAACCAGCCGCTCGCAACGAAACCGGCCGCCTCCTTTTAAATGAAACACAACTTCCGAGCATTTCGCGGAGACCCTTGAAAAGGAGGCTCAGGGTCCCGGTGGGGCTGGACCCTGCCCGCCACCCGCGCTCCGTGTGGCCGCTCCCCCAACCAGGTGGGACCGGAGCTTCCTATCAAATAGGACGATGACAGACTCTTTTAACCTTAGATGAGAAATGGACAAAATGGAGCTTGTGATTCTGCCCTAACTTTCGGGAGTGGCCTATTCTGTGGCTCCAGCCTAGAAATTTCTTTTCCTTTTCATGTGTAGGACTTTACTCCTTTATGAAGGGGCAGGATAGGAAGGGGAGTAACCTATCCTAGAGACAGACTGAGGAACACTAAAGAACAGCAGCTAATGTCAATTCACCTCGGATTAACAATGCAGTCTTTACCCTAATGATTCTCCAGTGGCGCAGGGCCCATACATCCTTATGGCATGATTCTAAACTTTGAGTTTTTAAAAATGTCCATCAGTTGTTCTCTTGTAAGTGCAGTGGAGGTCGTTGCTGGTGGGAATGATCCCTAACTTGGAGATAAGGGAGAATGGACGACTCATGATTTCTGCCCTAGTAGTTAAAAGTCATACCTGCAGCAAAATTCTCAACTCCCATCCGGGTCCCCCACCATACCCTGCTCCCCTGTGGTCTTCCTTCTCTGGCACCACCTGTCTACACCTCTCTCTCTCTCTCACTGTAGGTTCCCTACTATATATTAATACTGTCAAAAATTGTAAAAATGTGTACCTTTGATGAACAATGTTATCCTCCAAATACAAATTCCTCGAATCAACCTGGAATCTAGTTGTCACAAATGCCCCATTGGCCTATCTCCTGATATATTTTATTATAATAATTTTGAAATTATGGATACTAGGCACTTGTTTTTCTACCAACATTGTTACTAGAGTTTGGTCTGAAAGCACAAAAATAGTGTCCATGAAAGTCAGGGGCAGCTGCAGTTGTTTTTGTTGGTAGGCTTAGTCATTTGAGCAATAAGAATATAACTCAGACACGAACAGAATTAACTCTAGATAATTATCATTAAGCCTTTTCATACACAGTTACATAATTTTGTATTTTGTAAACAAATATATCAGAGCAAAAGCCTACTGCTTTCAAACAGACATACTGGCTAGTCAATATAAGCCCTAATTTGTCCATAGCTTTGTAGGTATCAAAACTGTCTTAATAGATTATTCTGGTGTAATCAACTTCAGGAAATGGCACATGCTAATCAAACTTACATAAGATGGATTTATAAGAATATCACGAGTACCTGTGTGTATACCATGCATGTATATATATATATGTGGGTGTGTGTGTGTGTATACATATTACACATAGATACTTACATAGAGGATAACCTTTGGTGAGGTATTTCTTACAGAAAGTTCAACCAGAACACAAATTAGAAATTTACAGTGAGTGTATGACTATTACAAAAGGAATTAATGGTTCTTAAGCGATATTTTCATCAATGTGGTATAAGTGGATTCATTAAATGTTGTTCACATTGCATCATAATTAGAAACTAATAATCAGAAAATTTTGACTCTGAATTTTTTTTCTCAGCATTCATGTTCTACCACTATATTACAATACAATTGGATAGGTCAGAGCTTTTTGTTGCATTAGTTACATTCCAGTCCTATTTTTGATCAGTGGTTTACTTCATTGCATTTAGGAAATACTTTGACCTGAATTGTAATTTCCATTTTTTTCAAGAACCTAAAAGAGTTTTCTGCTAGTAAACATTTTTTTTCATTATGCCTGCAAAAAGTTACTTGTGTAGTTAATAAAGTTCTTTGATGTGCATAACTGTAACACATATGCTCTTGACTAAAGATGCAATATTGGCTAATAGGAAAACTTTTGTAAATTTGTTAGAATCCTAATTGTAGTTCTTGGATAAAGAAGTACCATTAAGATCTCAGCGCCTTCTTATGAGCAATTTCTGAAAAAGTGGCTAAAGTTGACAGTGAACCCCCACTAGGAAACAGTAACATACATTCAGCATATTAAAGAGTAGTTGTCTTTATTGACGCCTCTATGTAAACAAAGGTATATGGGAGGCAGGAGAATAGGGCCTCAAGGCAGGGAACCTAAGGACTTCCTAGAACTAAAACACTTCAGCTATGACAAGAAATATCATCTTCATTTACATAGGGTGTACACAGAGTAAATGACTTTGTAACTTTATGTCATCCTCTTCATTTATATATGGCTTACACCAAGTAACCAATGGGACACCTCTAGAGGGTACTGAAATCCCAGAAAATTCTGTAACCAGGCCTCCTAAGCCACTTGCTCAGGCCCACTCCTACCCTGTGGAGTGTGCTTTCATTTTCAGTAAATCTCTGCTTTTGTTACTGAATTCTTTCCTTGCTTTGTTTGTGCGTTTTGTCCAGTCCTTTGTTCAAACACCAAGAACCTGGACACCCTCCATCAGTAACATACTGAGAATTGACAACAGAAGTACAAACATGAGTAATGAGTCTATGAATGTCCCTTATATCAGATTCAGATTTGGTTTTAACACAGTATAATGAATCCTTTCTTCTCAAGGTATTTACATTTGTCTTATCTTCTTCAGGTGTGCTCATCTTTTGCTACAGGACCCAGACAATACGATGGAACATTCTATGAATTTCGTACTTATTACCTTAAACCCTCAAAGATGAATGAGTTCCTGGAAAATTTTAAGAAAAATGCTCATCTTCGGACAGCTCACTCTGAATTGGTTGGATACTGGAGTGTAGAATTTGGAGGCAGAATGAATAAAGTGTTTCATATTTGGAAGTATGGTAAAGAGTCATCCAGTTTTGGCGTTCAGTATAGATTTTCATTCTGTTAAATGTAACATAAAACTTAGTTCTTGGATTTATATTATTATAGATACATACAGGATAACTAAGACTTTTGAAAAACAATCCCAAAAAAGTAAATTCAGTTCTTATTCTTCCCAGTGGTATACCTCTAACCCCTTGCTTAAACATTACATTATAAATTGGAAGACATGGTGTCTCATATATCAAGCCATAAAATTGAGAACTAGACTTTAAACCTCAGAAAAATGTTAAAATGGTTTGCTGTAAAGACAGTTCATCAAAAATTTAGAGCAGCAATTTTTAAAGTTCAAGTGGGTTAAGATCAGAAAAGGAAAGGAGAAGTACGTTTTCTTTTTTTGAAGCTAGGGGACTGTATATCAGTATTTTAGCAGAAATACTTCAACCATTTAAGGGACTTTACGGATATGGAGGTTTATAGGGGATGATGGTTAACTTTCAGTCCTCACTGAACTCTGAGATTTAATAATTCTGTTATGTTTACAGACCACATTTGTTTCATATCTGTACCCCCAGAGTTTTGAAGAATTCACTGTTACACTACTCTAGGGAGGTAAAAGAAAAGGAATGAGGGAGAGTTCTTCCCGTGTTGAAACTAACCTACGCCTGGTTTAGTAGAGGAAGGAGAATAAGTTATAAGAATGCCCAGAATGCTTGTTACTCCAGTGTCTACATCAGGACTTGATGATACCTAAAGAATTTTTAATAATTTCATTTAGTGTTTGGTTTAGGGTTTTTCCCTGTTATAATAGAAAAAGCCCCATTAAAATACAATTTATGCTTTAGATGTGGTACAAGTTGTATCACAGCCCATTTAAAAAAACTAAGTTCTGATATACCTCACTTAAGTTGTAAGATAGGTATTCTTCCTTATCCCAATGTAAACCCTATGAAACTCTCTTACCATTAGTATTATGAGGTCCTAACAGTAAATATAGTACTAGGCCCATATGTTGGCAAATGTATATAACTGTTTGGGTAACTTAAATAGAAGAAAAATAAGTGCTGGGGAGAAAGAATGGATGACAATAAGAGAATCAGCATTATTTCTTTGAAATCTATTTGTTCAACGGAGAAGAGGCTTAAAATGTACAGTTTAACTTCACTCATGTTAAATTTGATTCAAGGTGTTTTAACTTCACTCGTTAAATTTGATTCAGGGTGTATCTGGACTTGACTACCCACCACCACCAAAGGAAAACAGTCTTTCTCTAAACTAGCACTGTAAGTTAAATGCCTCAATCAAGTAAGAATAGTTCATATATACTGAGTATTAACTAGGTGCCAACCACTATTCTAAACTCTTTTCATGTGTTAATTTAATCCTCATACAACCCTGGAGGTAGATGTCTTCTTATCTCAATTTCACAGAAACTGAGGCACAGAAAGATTCAATAACTTAACCTAATTCACAAAACTGCCTACTACGTGGTCGAGCCTATAAAGCCTATTATGTGACATTACAATTAGTTTGCATTTCTGCTGCCCTTTTTGTCCTTGAGCAACTTCAGGGCAGATGGTCACATCTGTTTAGTTGGTGTCGCCAAAGGCCTAACGCAAGGTTCTTATATGGCATCAATGACCACTGCTGATTTGAATGAAATCTGGAAAAGTACAGGTGATTTAAAACTGAATTTTTAAATTTTTCCTTATTCTTTTCTTCCCACAGATAATTTTGCTCATCGAACTGAAGTTCGGAAAGCCTTGGCCAAAGATAAGGAATGGCAAGAACAATTTCTCATTCCAAATTTGGCTCTCATTGATAAACAAGAGAGTGAGATTACTTATCTGGTACCATGGTGCAAAATAGAAAAACCTCCAAAAGAGGGTAAGTCCTTCCTTCTTAGTCACTGAGTTTTGATGAACAAAATACTAAAGCACTTAAGTGATATAAACTGAAGTTCCTTTGGAAAAAAATAAAATTAATCCTTTGTTTTATATAGGAACATACAGTGATTGTTGAGGTAAAAATAAATGGGTGCTCTTACCCCATCCTTTAAAAAAATGAGCATAAAATAATGAGATATTTTTCAGATTGAGACCTTACAGATTTGTAAGCTTAACTGTGTTATAGAAAAAGCTGACATGGTCAGTAGAAGTTGAGAATTTGTGCATTGGGAGCAGGGAACGTGTTGATAGGTAAGGGATAGCGTATGAAGTTTTGCCATAATTTTAAAATAATATGATCTTTAAAATGTGAAAGTATTTCCATAAATTATAACTAATCTTAAATCATTAAATACAGCTTTGCTTATAACATTGACTATTTGGGGGAAACAGATTAAGTGAAACTGCCAAGCTATATTACTTTAGTCTAACTTTTTTGTCTTCTTTCTTGTTTCTCAGTTTGAAAGTAATTGCTTAAGATTTGTCTTCTTGCTGATTTCACTTCTTGCTGACTTAAAGAAACTATTACCTCAATCCAGTTTTAAACAAAGGTCAGATTAGAAAAGCATAAACTCATTTAAATGTTATTTTACTTCCCCCATTATTCCCAACTTTGTAGTGTATTTAGGTTACAAAAAATTTACAAACTCTTCTTTGGATCTTTACCTACTTAGGTGTCCCCTCAGTTCTCAGTACTATCTAAATAAAATAGTTCACTTCTCTGACAGTGTCAAATCTTAGTTCTCCTCCTCTGTGTACATCATTGCTTGGAAATTTTTGCATGTTTTTCCTACTTGTCCCAGAGTTTCTTTCTCTCCACCAGCTCTATACTTCTGTCCAAAGTGTACGATACTTTTTAAGTATTTACCTGGATATTTAGGACAAATAAAACCATCTCTTTAGGTTTGGTTTTTTTTCCTCCAAAATTCAGAGACATCACTTTGGGTCCACTCTTTCCTTTGCTGTTCCTGTTAAAAATGGAAATTTATAGGGAGAAATTATATGAAGAAAAACATAGTGGAAATTGGAAAGAATGAAAATATAGATTGGAAAATTCTTCTTTTATTCTTTTATTTTCTAAAAGCATAGACTCATGCAGCTCAAAATTCTATTCCATTATACATTCTCAACAGATTTTTAACAAATTTTATCGATTAAAAATATTTTAGATAATAGTTTATAATAGCTTCCAGTTCTTTTTCTTTGTCATCTGCATGATTAAGCATAACAACTCACTCTTAAACATGGGCAAGGACTTTCTAAGCATCAAAGCAAAGAAAGACAGTGCAAATATAATAAACATGTCTACATAATACATATGCATGTCTCATCCTCCAAATCTGTGTGTGTAGATAGTGAAAGACTTTTCACTGAGAAACGTGATTAGATATTGCTTGAATGTTTTCTGAAAAATTATTTTTCTCCCTATTTCAGGAGTCTATGAACTGGCCACTTTTCAGATGAAACCTGGTGGGCCAGCTCTGTGGGGTGATGCATTTAAAAGGGCAGTTCATGCTCATGTCAATCTAGGCTACATAAAACTAGTTGGAGTGTTCCACACAGAGTATGGAGCACTTAACAGAGGTACAGTTGTCCATTTCTTCTTATATGAAATTGTAATATATATTGTGACCTAAGTTCCTTGGGTCAGTTTCTCTCTCTTTCTCATTATAGAGTATATTTTATTATTTATTGCCAAATGTTTAGTTTTTTGTAATTTTTAAAATTGAGAAAATCTGTTTTACATCTTATTTATGTAGAATGTTAACTTATGAAACCTTTTTCAAATGCTGAATAACTATTTTCCTTGATGCATCAAAATGATTAAAATTTTTAAACTGAAGGAACCTCAGCTGGGCATGGTGGCTCAGGCCTGTAATCCCAGCACTTTGGGAGGCCGAGGGAGGTGGATCACCTGAGGTCAGGAGTTGGAGACCAGCCTGGCAAACATGGTGAAAACCCATCTCTACCAAAAATAGAAAAAATTAGCCAGGCATGGTGGTGGGGGCCTGTAATCCCAGCTACTCTGGAGGCTGAGGCAGGAGAATCACTTGAATCCAGGAAGTGGAGGTTGCAATGAGCCAAAGTCGTGTCATTGCACTCCAGCCTGGGGAACAAGAGCAAAACTCCATCTCAAAAAATAAAAATAAAAATAAAAAATGAAAGAACCTCAAGAAATAATCTTACTTTCATTTCTTTTTCCTCTGAATGTACTTTTACTGATTTTTTAAAAATAATATTACTTGGGGTAGGGAGATTATCTCTAAGTAAAAAAGTAATATATGTTTTATATAAAAATTAAAGCCCCTCATAAAAATTTACCCATTTTCCACCACAGTTTTATATATATCTATATAGAGAGATATAGTAAATATGTATATATGTTGAGATAAATTTATATAAGGATATATTTATTTAATAAAACACATATTTGGGGTATTTAACTTGTAATGTTGAAAAACATTTCAATCAGAATTTCAAGATTTTTTGTGGCAAATTCAGAAAAACATGTGTAAAGTTTATCTGAAAGGATAAAAGAGCCGAAGAGGCAGCTCACACCTGTAATTCCAGCGCTTTTGGGAGGCTGAGGCTGGAGGATTGCTTAAGCCCAGGAGTTTGCAACTAGCCTGGGCAATACAGCTTGTCTCTACAAAAAAAAAATTAAGAATTAGTTGGGCATGGTGGTAAACACATGTAGTCCTAGCTACTTGGGAGGTGGAGGTGGGAGGATCTCTTGAGCCAGGATTTCAAGGCTGCAGTGAGCTATGATTGCACCACTGTACTCCAGCCTCTGAATGACATAGTAAGACCCTGTCTCTTAAAAAAAAAAAAAAAAGTAACAAAGAAAGGATAAATGTCTAAGAATAGCTAACAAATATTTGAAAGACTCATCATAATATCCTGTTGCCTTTCTATTATCTATGTCCAATGGACATCTCAAACCTAATATACCCACCTTTATGCAGAAATTCAACTTCTTGTAATAATCTATCATAAGAAAATAGAATATATAAAAATAGATGTATATTCAGGTTGGAAAATACATGGAGGAGAAACTGTTATGAAAATTATTAGGTGCCTGTCTCACACCATATGTGAAAATAAAGTCAAGCTGGATTGTATATTTTAATGAAAAAAAATTTAATCCATAAAATTGGTAAAACAAAATGTAGATGAATTTATTTAATAATGTGGATTGGGACTATATTTGTAAGCCAAAAGCAAATGAAGAAACTATGAAGAAAAAAAAATCAACTTATGATTTTATTATATAAAGGCTCAAACTTTCTGGATGCCTGAAAATCACCATAAATGAAATTCAAAGGCAAAAATAAAAATAAAAATTTATGCAAAAGTAGACATGCACATGGCTACTAAATATATATTAAAGAAAATGTATATTAAAACAATAATGAGATGCCATTTATTTACCTAATAAAAGGCATACTTACATGGATATAGTACTAGGTCAGGAAAAAATAAGTACTCAAATACTGTGCAGGGTTCGTATTAGCTTAATCTTTCCCCAAAATTTGACAATACAAATAAAAGCCTTATTTTTATTGTTTTTGCCAGTATTACTTCCAGAAAACATGCCTGGGTGTGTATGTGTATAGGTGTGCTAAATTATATAGAAAAGAAATTTGAAAGTATATAACATACACAGTAGTCATATTTCAGTGAGATAAATGGTTAAGTCTCTATGTTAATATTCTTTTTTTTTTTTTTTTTTTTTGAGATGGAGCCATGCTCTGTGGAGTGCAGTGATGCGATCTCAGCACCCTGCAACCTCCGCCTCCCTGGTTCAGGAGATTCTCCTGCCTCAGCCTTCCAAGTAGCTGGGATTACAGGTGTGTGCCACCACGCCCAGATAATTTTTGTATTTTTAGTAGAGACAGGATTTCACCAGGCTGGTCTCAAACTCCTGACCACAGGTGATCCGCCTGCTTCCAGGTGATCCACCTGCCTCGGCCTCCCAAAGTGCCGGGATAAGAGGTGTGAGCCACCATGCCCAGCCTCTACCTTAATTTTCTATACTGCACACATACAATTTTTATTTTTAAAAACAACTACTGAAAATGTGTGTTCATATACTTCTTCATCTTAAATTCATTCTAAGTGTTAAAGGAGAATTGGTAATCAGTACATCATTTCTGGAGGACAGTGTATACTATATACACTGTATGTAAGTATATATATATAAGACATGCTTTTCAGTTCTCTCAACTTAAATTCTACTTTATATTAAGGAAATAATCAGATTCAGACTGCCTGGATTTAAATCCCAGGTATACTACTTACTTTTTGACTTTAGGTAAGTAAACCTCCCCATACCTTAGTTTTTTCATCCATAAAATGATAGATTATTATGAGGACCTAGATTATTATGAGAATTAAATGAGTTAATACATTAAAATGCTTAAAACTAGGCCTGACACATAGTTGTCATTCAATAAACATCAGTAGTTGTCATCGAAAGTATTATTATAAACATATAGTTGTGCTCAAATGAAGTTTATGTTAATATTGTTTACATTAAAGAAACAATGGAAATGTAGTATGACCTTTATGTAATACATATGTAATACAGAAATCGATATACATGTACATCATATGATATACTTATATAAGCATAAGCAAATATGCTTATATATGTTTATTTGTATAAATATACAACTATATATAAAAATTCAGGCCAGGCATGGTGGTTCACGCCTGTAATCCCAACACTTTGGGATTGCTTGAGGCCAGGAGTTTGAGACCAGCTTGAGGCCAGGAGTTCGAGACCAGCCTGGGCAACAAAGTGGGAACCTGTCTCCACAAAAATAAAAATAAAATTAAAATTAAAAAATAAAAATACATATATACACAAAGAGATACACCAAATCTAAAAGAGATACACCAAAAATAAAATGATTACAGTTTTTTATCTGCATTTTCCTGTACATCTAACATTTATATATTATAATTATAAAAACTTCATAAGCAATTTTGTACAAGAAGAACATTTATTCCAGTATTTTATAGAATACTAAAATACTGGAAATAGTCTAAATAGTCAACAATAAGGGCTGGCATAATAAGTTGCTGATTCTGTAAGGAGGAATTTATATAACCATTAAAAATTAATATTGCCATAGAAAATACTGATTTTTAAAAACCTGTTACTAAATCTGTTGTTATAGTATACAATAAGACCCTGATTTGGTTTTACTCATGTTTTCCAAAGGAAATACAATAAATTTCCATAGACGTTTTCTCTATACTGTTAACATTATGCCACTTTTAATTTTCTTTTTTGTATATTGTAAATTTTTAATAGTAAACAATTTCCTCATAATTTTGCTTTTTTAAAAATTAAAGGAAACTGTAGTAGGAAATCATAAAATTTGGGTCTTGTCTTGATTGTGCCTCTAGCTGTTTGACTTTAGTACTTCCCTTTTCCAGCCTTCTATTTCTTCATCTATAAAACCAATTTGATTAATTTATCAATTTCTCTAGCAAGTCTCTGACCCCTCTGAAATCTTATCAGTAACATATTTAGTTTTACCTTTTTGATATCACTATTTTGATTTAAAGAATAGGATGGTTTTGGCCAAGCGCGGTGGCTCATGCCTGTAATCCCAGCACTTTGGGATGCTGAGGTGGGTGGATCACCTGAGTTCAGGAGTTCAAGACCAGCCTGCCCAACATGGCAAAACCCCATCTCTACTAAAAATACAAAAAAAAAAAAAAATAGCTAGACATGGTGGTGGGCACCTGTAATCCCAGCTACTCCGGAGGCTGAGGCAGGAGAATCTCTACAACCCAGGAGGCGGATGTAGCAGTGAGCTGAGATCGCGCCACCGCACTCCAGCCTGCGTGACAAGAGTGAAACTCTGTCTCAAAAAAAAAGAATAGGATGGGTTTGATTCATTTTTCTGTTATTTCTTATTTGTTAAGGCCCTGTTTTTTTAGAAACTACTTGTGGTTTGTTTCTGCAGTTCATGTTCTCTGGTGGAACGAGAGTGCAGATAGTCGTGCAGCTGGGAGACATAAGTCCCATGAGGATCCCAGAGTTGTGGCAGCTGGTAAGCTGTTTGACTAGGCATGAATTATTTTTAGAACAAATGTGATTTAGTCAGTAACTCTATATGCCTTTCTGAAATGTTTTTCCAGTTCGGGAAAGTGTCAACTACCTAGTATCTCAGCAGAATATGCTTCTGATTCCTACATCGTTTTCACCATTGAAATAGTTTTCTACTGAAATACAAAACATTTCATTAACTGCTGTAAGATGTGTCTGCTAATGGTGCTTAAATTCTCCCAAGAGGTTCTCACTTTTATTTGAAGGAGGTGGTAAATTAATTTGCTATGTTTCTTGCATTTTGAAGGCTACATCTGTGCTTTGTAACTACCACTTCAAAAAATAGTTCTGTTTAGTTTCTCCACGGTATTTC